TCTCTCTCTCTCTCTCTCTCTCCCTCTCTCCTTTCTCTCTCTCTCTCTCTCTCCTTTCTCTTGCTCTCCCTTTTGGGGAGCCTGAGGCTGAAAGCCGGGGAAGCCATCCTGAAGCTTGTATAAAGGTAAATTGTTTGTTTTATTTTGCGTCCCTGCAAATTCACATGAGCGACCTTAGTTCAGCTGCCCGTGCCTGTTTGGGGGTGACAAAAAACATTTTACTGAAGCAAGTATTACTGTGGTTGAAAGGGCCCTTTAAATGAGATTAGAGCATTCAAATGAACATCAAAAGCAATCCAGGTATTATTCAGGATACATATGAGCCCACTGTGATTTCTAAACCAGAACTTTCAAAAGTACTTTTAAAAGGGGCTGGGGTTATGGCTCAGTGGTACAGCACTTGCCTAGCATGTGTGAGGCACTGGGTTCAATTCTCAGCACCACATATAAATAAATGTCCATCAACATCTAAAACATATTTTTTAAAGTACATATACACATTCATCAGTCTCCTTTTAAAAGCCACGTTCGTCTATATTTCCACATAAGATCAATTTATACTGTTCCATTATTCTGCAACTATGAAATCATCTGCTCTCAAAAATACAATCTAAAGTAGATTGATCGCTACCTTTTCTCTATGGATATACATTATATCTCATTCACACCCACACACATGTAATTGAACACAGGGGTGCTTTACCACTGAGCTACAATTTGTAGCCCTTCTTATTTATTATTTTGAGACAGAATCTTGCAAAGTTATGGAGGGTCTTACTAGCTTGCTGAGGCTGGCCTTGAACTTGAAATCCTCTAAGCCTCCCAAGCTGCTGGGATTATAGACTTTCACCACCACTTCTGGCATCCTCATATATTTATATTTGCCATATGGATATGGGGGTGGAGGAAAACAAGTATTATATAACATGACTGGTAAATTAACCTCCTTCTAGATTTTTAGCAGATTTCAATCCTTGTGTAATTACAGTAAAGATTGGAGTAAGAAAAATGTACAAAAACCTACTGTGGTTTTTTTTACCCTTCTGCAACTTTTGAAAGTTACTAAGCATGGTATTCAAATCTGTATCTAATATTCTTAATGAAGTTAATAATAAGTGATCAAATATTTTCTAGTATGAAAGGAAGGAAAATGAGATATTATCCCATTTTTAAACAGGCTTTTTACAAACAGATCTTCTTCTCTGCACACTCCATTCACTTCTGCTTCTGTAGTTGGCTTTCCTATTATTATGACTGCACAGATGCACCATTTTGGCCTTTCTCTGTACATCTGCAGTCTACAGGAAGCAGAGTAATATGAGAGTAGACAGCAGGCTGCTCCTCAGAGGCCAGGGGATAGTGTTCACCACCAACACGCTGAAGAACAGGGATGCAGGGTCTGTTTGCTCTGGAGATCTCCCCGTGTGAATCAAGGGGGGGGGGGTCCAGGCTCTAGAGCATTTCACACCATTTCTCCATCATCTCTAAGTGCTCTGCCTGAGACACTCAGGGGCCTAAAAAAGCTTCACTCCCTAAAAACAAGCTTGGCATTAAAATGCCACAGTTGGAGAAATTACCACCAGGAAAGGGAGTCAGGGTTAACAAAGATTGCCTTTACAGTGACAGTGGTGGTGGTAAAAGCAGCATGACTTGCTGGTTTTTTTCCGTTGAGTTTTTGGCCACAGGCTTCAAACTGCCTTGCATGCCCTGAGCAAGAATCAGCTATAGGCTCTCTCTTTCCCCTTCTAATTCTATGAAATTTCTTTGATTACTTACCAGTTGCTGACCTATTGTTTTGTGCTGTACCTATTCCCCCTCACTGACAATCATTCTCTCCCATTCACCATCAACACCTCCATCTCCCATCAAACACTCCATGCGTGCGCGGGCACCCACCCACACACACACCTCAACCATAATGGAGTTAGGCCAGGCTGTGCAATGCACAAAGTGCACAAGAAGCTTATAGCCATCCTGCCGTCAGCTCTCTGAGCCACACACTGTGGCTTCAGGCTGTGTCTACCCACCTAAAGAAAAGCCTTCGTTGGTCCATTTTGTGCAAAAGCACCACCATGCACAAGTCTTGTGCCTTAGGATAGTATCTTCCCAGAGAGGGGATCATTTTCTAATTTGTATGGACTACAGTTAGTTCTGCTTTATACCTTCTTATGCAATCATGTGGACTAAAAAGACAGCTCTTCCCGACAAAACAAATACTTTTCAAATTGCCTTTGATTTAAAAAAAAAACAAAAACCTGTTTTGCTCTCTACAGCACATACTAAAACTGAAATGATACTGAGAAGATTAACATGGCCCCTAAACAAGAATGACACGAAAATTTGTGAAGCATTCCATATTTTTTTAAAAATTGCCATTTTAAGGCACACTATTACATTAGTATCTTTTCCCATGGACAGAGTGATCCACATCCAGCAACATGACTTCTGCAATTTGAAAAAAAAATGGATCACAGCTGCAAAATGTATTGAATTAAGCTATACATGTGCAGGTCAATGAAAAGGACACCTTGCTATGAAGATTAAATGAGGTGACATAGATAAAACTTCAAGAATAACAGAGCAGGAGCTCAGTACATTTTGAAAAGAATTAAAGAGGTGAAGAAACTATTAAATAGAAATCTGAAACTAAAAATGAATAGCAGCCTAAGGCCACTATGCAGAGAGGAAATATACTTTAATGCAAAATAACTATAACTATACTCAAGTCGACTACATCTTGCTCTGCATTCTTCGGGAGAGGCATAGGCAGGAAACTAACCTTGACTGAGCTTTTCCCAGGGCTGCCCCACATCATCAGGATGTGTATGATAAGTTCATCACAGTTCTAACAGCTGAGAGTTGTTATTCCTCTTCCATATAAAAGGACCTGAGTGATGGATCTCAAGGAAGGATAGAAACACTCAAAAGAAGTTTAAAAGAAAATCTGAATGTTCACACCATCAACTATTTATAAAACTCAAGGTTTGCACCAATAAAATTTCCCTTTGTGCATCTACACACAAAAAAGGACAGATGGCTCTGCCAAATAGTATATATGACACCCAGGGGGCTGTGTTCAGCCTGGCTCCTCAAGTTGTAAAAGAACTTGTCTTGGCTGCAAAGATATTAGAGAAGGTACTCATTCCTAATTTAGAATCTGGCAAATAGAAGTTTCTATAGTTTGTTTTATAAAATGAAGTGATTAATGCTGAGCACTAGGTTAGATAGAGATTGGGGATAGAAAAGTGTGTGCCTATTCTCAAGTTGGTAGCTTCCACAGTTGACAGGCAAATCCTTGGAATCTGTCTCTAGTACTGCAAGTGCCCACAGTTGAAGCATGGAACCCCTTCTCCACATTCTAGGGGACCTTCACTGGTGGGCTTGCTTCTACTTGCTCCTTCATTCTTTAGCCAGCCGCTGCTGTTCCCTTTGTCTCTGGGACTAAGCAGTGCTCTCCAGGCTCAAATTCTCCCTAGGCAGGCCTTTCTTCTCCTTCTCAGCTGCCTAAATTAAGCACCTCGTATGACGTTTGTTCTTTTCAGGATCAGATATTCCCATTCTCAGGTGTGGACTAGGGAACCTCAGCTTTCCAGAGAGCATGGATAGTATTGAGGGGGGAATTTGTCTCAAGTAGGTTGCAGCTGTCCTTGTTCCAGAATTTCACAGGGCCTGACTGCAAATGGTTTATAAACTGGGGCTGTATGCCTTGCCTGCATAGTGCTATTGGATGGACAGAATCGTGTGCTTATGAAGACTCTTGAGTAAGTGTGATATGCATATTAACTTGAATTGTGCAATTGCTTTTATTTTCTGGAAATTATTGTGTGATTCTGGATTTTAGTCACCAAAGATGGCCCATTTTGTGCCTGCTGCCTTGTCCTAGCCATTATCCACATTCCTGAGTGCCTCCTTTATTCTCTCCTCTCCTGGTGGTGCCTCTCTGGACACTGGTTATGGAGCAACTTGGAGCAAAGCTATGCCACATCCCTGTCCTCCTCAATGGCAGGACAGGTTTCTCCTATTTTTCCCTTTGTACTGTCACACTCCACAAATATTCAATACAAAAGTGCAAACGTGCTGATTGTTTCATCTCGTGGCTCTGGCAAATTAGTACGAAATGTTGGAATGACTTTTTACTGTATTTTTCTTTTATACAAAAACTGTTATATAAATGCCAAAACACAGGGATACAACTGCTTGGTTTCTGGGTGTTTTTCCAGGGTGAAAATCTGACTTTTCTCAGAAGAAAAATATAGATACACGCTGTGTCTTATAACTATGTTGTCTCATAACTATCATTTTCTTTTCAGTATTTTCTTCCAAAATACTAGCTTCCAGCTAGATTGTCATCTGTGTGTCAAACAGTAAAATACACCCCTGCTGATGCGCCTTTGCCCAAATGAAATCAATCTGATTTTAAAGCTGCAGAGAGTTAAACAGTTATTCCCACGGCATGGCCCACTGCAGTCCCCTAGTGCTGGTGATGGTACTCTGTCACAGGCATCAACAGCAGGGACACGTTTGCTGTGCGCCTCTTGTTCAGAGCCTTATAAAGAGAGAAGTGAGGAACAAGCTGGAGCTCAGTGTCTGCAGTCTGCAGATAAGACACACATCTGTGAGACAGCACAATTCTTGGTGTCTGCTGTTAACTTCCTGTTCACCTGCACTGCTTCCAATGACTCCCATGGCAAGCATTAATAAAGCAATAAAAAGTGTTAGCAGAACACTTAAATTACCTGTTCTGTTGCAGGAGGTTTTTTTTTCAATCCCGAGCTTCTTTAAGGAGGCCATATCCATTAAAGATGTAACAGGGGTTTCTCTGTAAGGATGGCAGTGGCCTCAAGTCCTTTGTGCATCAGGGCAAATTATAAATGTGAAAGTAAACAAATGTCTGGAGCCAACTAGAAGGAATGTGTGTCATGCCACTTTTCAGTTAACCAAGAAACGTATCATTTCCCCATCAAAATTTTCAGCTTTTAAGTTGATGACAGAAATGGGAGGGAATTACCAGTCAGTTTAGAATGGACTATTAACAAGAACAAGTGTGTCCCGGGTGGGACTAAGGAGGCCTTTTAGGAGTGACTGTAGCTCCAAAGCCATAGCTGACTTCTTGCAGACACTGTCAGATCCTCTCCAGATGGAAGCAGAGGATGCTGGAGACAGAGACGGGCCTATGAAAGCTGAGTGTTTGGGGTCAAACAGAGCCTCTGGCCATCACCCGGAGAAGACAGGATGGTAAGAAGGAGGGGACCTGGTCAGTGAAAGACAACTGGAGTGCTCAGAGTTGAAGACAAGCTTTAGCTTTATGTAAATTAATATTAATTTTAAAAAAATTTAGACAGAATGAAGAGACAAGAATACCCTATAATGGTTTTTACTTGAATGTGTTCACTTCCAACAACTCTGCTTACTATTAGAAAAAGAGGGGTGAAGGGAAAACACAAGGCATTGATCTTGTCAGGTCCATGAAAGTGAAAGGACTAGGCATCTTTTAAAACCTAGACAAAAGCAGCACGGGGACACTACTTGAAGTTCTGGTGTGTGCCCAACATCCCATGGCTAAGTTTTCAACCATCTTTGAGAACTAAAGTCCCAACATATTTAGCTTTGACCAACTTTTCTGTGTCTATAAACCAGAGTGTGCACCACACACACAGAATTTTCTTAGTAGTATAATCTGGGCAAAATTAATCTTGTCTCGATCTCTCTCTCTCTCTCTCTCTCTCTCTCTCTCTCTCTCTCTCCATGTTTTGTGCAAACACACAAAGGTCTGAAGACAAAAGGTATGATTTTCTTAAGGTATTGCCCACAAAGATAAAGAGGAATAAAATTTCCATTATCATCTCTTGGGGGAAATAAAGGAAATATTTTGGGAGGTATAAGAGTAGGCAGCAAGAAATTAATCTTAAAATGTGGCACAAAATATTAACATGTATACTTTTGACTACACCATTGGCTATACAGTATTTAGCTGTGTCAAAACAGACAACAAGGGCTGGGGATGTGGCTCAAGTGGTAGCATGCTCACCTAGCATGTGTGAGGCACTGGGTTGGATTCTCAGCACCATATAAAAATAAAGACATTGTGTCCAACTAAAACTAAATAATAAATATTTTTAAAAAGACAACAATTAAAGAAGCAGCAAATGTTAGCTTCAGCACCAATCATTTTTATTACCAGGAGATCCACCTGGAACCATTTATCTATTCTAGGACTATATAGGTATACATAGAAGAAAATGCAACTCTTGGCTTATATTATAAACACCAGACTACATCCAGGAAAAGTGCAGAAGCTGGGAGCAACAACAACAACAAAACAAACAAAAAACTCCTAAGATTACATTCTCCGAAAGGAGATGTTCCAGAAAATAATGGCAAAGCATGGCTATGTAATCTGGCCAAGGAAGAAGACAACGAGTCTGTTCATTTGTTAAATCACTGCCTGTGGAGTCAGACATGGTTCAAATCCAGGTTGTAACATTGATCAGGTTTCTTCATCATACCTTGATTTCCTTTCATATGAGTTGGGATGTTAGCACACCCAGCTGAGAAGATGCTTGGAGGAACTGCATGAGATCCTGTCTGAAAAGTACTCGGCAGGGTGCTTAACTAGGGAATGATGCTTCATAAAAAGTAGCTCTTATTAGCTGAGCAGGAGTTTTTGAATACAAAAAAGATGTTTGATAAATAAAAGAGCAGAGAGATGGGTAGGATGACACTGGTAAGGAGCAGGCAGAGGAAAAGGCAAGTCTAACAAAAAGAATAATGCCACATTAGACCAAAATTGAGAGAAAAATGATCCAGAGAACATGAACGGAGTGCCTGTCGATACATTAAAAACCCAGAGAATAGAAAATGATAAACCAATTGCCTTTTTATATCATTGGCTTTTTTGTCTTTCTTTGTAATAAAATTTCCAGGATAGAGCAGAAAAAAAGGGTCTTGAACATTTGTCTAATACAAACCTCTAATGTGGCACATGTGAAAGACTTCCTCATGCAGTGAGCCTTCCCCAGCCGCCAGAAAGCGCCACAGAAAGTGACAGAGGGTGGACCCCTGGCCAAACAGGGTGCCAGCCTCAGAGGAGCCCTCCTCCTACCATAACAGCATAACTAACCCATCTCATCTGTGAGGTCAACTGTCATTGCAACACCTTGTGATATGCAACAGGACATTTTCATTCTTTCCTTTTTCTAGCTGATTCCAATGCCATTTTCTCTCTACAAAGATGGAAAGCCTGGGTGGGCCTGCTTGAAGGTGACAAGGAAGAAGCTCTGGCCTGCAGACCCCCTGCAATACTTGGGGAGCTACATGACTCTGGACGAATCTCTTATGCTCTATGACCCAGTCCACCCTCTG